CTATGATTTTACTGACTGCGACAATTGCTCAAAACATTAACTGACGTCTCCATGTTGACTGTTTCCGCAAAGACTTAACCTAGCCATCAGCTCCAACCATTGTACCTCTCTATATATATATATTGACCGCTAAAAATGACAGGATTATGGGCATATCACATTGAAATACTAGTTCTTGTCCAATCCTTGAAATTATGCATCATTGAACCTGGTCAGTAACTAGATGGGTGACTGCTGGGAATACTAGCTGTTGTAAGTTTGGATGTGTGGCTGGTGTAATAGATAACAGCTAGGAATGAGAAATCGGAGGGCCATGTTCGAATTTCAGTTGGGTTTATTATATTCACTTACGTACAAATGCCCTTGGGAAAGGTATGAATCCATCTATTCTCCTTCCTGCTATGGGTTAAATAGTAAGATTTATATCAGAAAATTATTATTATCCCCCCAAAATTCTTAGAATCCAAAAATATGTTTCGGCTTTAAATAACCTCAAAAATGTTGATAAGCCGTAAAAATAAATAAATAAAACTAGAAATTACTATTGAGAAATTAGTTTTCATGTACTTTGCTCAACTTCCATATTTCTCTTTTGCGGTGTTCATTTAAAAGAAGTAGTTGTTTTGGTTTTAGCGTTTCATTTCTTTTCTGTTTGTTTCTGTCAGCAGTGCCAGGTGCTTCAAAAATCTTCTTGCTGATCATTTCACTTTTCTTGCTTATTAACCTATTTTTTATCGTATCCATTTTGTGCTGTTCATTATGATAGGTTTTTTTTTTATTGTTCTTATCTTGCAAGTATTTTCGGTTTCTTTTTTTTTTATTCTATGATCACGTGTTTGCAATTTCCGGTTGGTTTCTATCACTCAGTAACTACTTACTCTTTTGAAGTTATCTTTCTAATGACCCATGACAACTTTTATGTATCTGAAATAAAAAAAAAAGGTTTTGACACCATCAAATAAAATATTACAATTACTTCCCCCCAAAAAAAAAAAAAAAAAAAATAGATGCAAGCTGAAATTCACATGCCATATTTATCATAAATACAAGTGTAAGCTAAAAGTGTTCCATCTATCCGTTGGTTATTACCAGTTATTTTGAAAAACTTTCAATAACTCTAAGCATTTATCTTGAACCTTCTACTACGGACGATAATGGGTATGTTTCTGTTGTAGCATACCTGCCGATGATAATGGATATGTCCCCATTCACATAAATACAGTAGTAAATACTCTATGTTGGTCTGTAGTTGGAGATTCGTCTCCAGCTGTGCTGGTCAAACTCTCTGCCTCCGGACAGAGAGGATCCCCTGACGAGGCTATGTCGAAGAGCAGAGCCTCGTTTCGTGAAACAGCTACCCGACCCTGTTTTATACGGGGGTCTACGGGGATTTTTTAGCCGAGACTAAGAGCTCGGACACCCCACGTTAAATTCGGCCTTGTGCCACATCTGACCGCTTGGGGCGTTTGGTAGATATCCTGCAGTTGGAGATTCGTCTGCAGTTGTACTGGTCAAACTCTCTGCCTCCGAGCAGAGAGAATCCCCCGACGAGGCTCTGTCGAAGGGCAGAGTCTCATCTCGGGATGCAGCTACCCGACCGCGTTTTATACGGGGTCTAGGGGGAATTTTTGGTCAAGCTTACGGGCTCGGATACCTATATTAAATTTGGCCTTGTGCCACATCTGACCGCGTAGACCGTTGGTAGATATCCTGCATTTGGACATTCATTGTGGAATTCACTTGACTCACTTCTGGCAGCTGACTACTTTTTCTACACACCGCTGGCAAATCTTATATGTGTTGTTCTTGTCCTAAGTATTATCGTTTATTACCAACCTTCGTGGGATTATTTTATTCAGTAACCTTCCCTAGGTTACAACAATAACTGTACTGCTTTTCACACTAGTGGAAAACATTAATCCACCTCCCGATGTTGTAAGGTTGTTAGTTGTTTTCGCGCAGGACCTATCGCAGCCATCAGGTCCATCTGTGATGTTTACTTTTGGTTGGCCACTCGTATCCAAGGATGCCATTTTGCTAGGTCGGCTAGCTAATCCTCATTGCAGACGCATGTTCATGCATATTTGTGTCCGCTCATCACCCACAGAGCCCACCTCTGGTTTATACTGCAACTATGCTTAGCGGACCTTAGTTACAGTTTCTGGGAGAAAGGGCGTTATCTAGCGTGATCAATAGTCTGAACAAGGTCAGCACGCTCAAACTCTCGGCCACGATGGCTTGTGGCTTCGTTCTAGCACAACTATCGACGGCTCCCAAGGGTTCCGTCTACCCAATTTCTTATTCACAAGGCTTGGGTCAACCCGTGTTATGTTTTTCAGGTACTCTCCAAAGGTTCCGCACGCTGGGGTCGCCCCCCTCCAGACCGATAACATCAATAAGTCGCCTTTTTACTTACAGTTGGTTATAAAAGCCTTCATGTCCTTATTCTGAATTTTTCTCTCCATTTACATTTGCAACATCAACTTCATCGAATATATTTTTTGCTGGTCAATTCACATTTCTTGCCTATTATCCTTAACCCTAACCCTAACCCTAATCCCTAACCCTAATCCCTAACCCTAACCCTAATCCCTAACCCTAACCCTAATCCATAACCCTAATCCATAACCTAACCCTAATCCATAACCCTAATCCATAACCTAACCCTAATCCCTAACCCTAACCCGCTTAGGTTTCCTTTTCCCAATCTCTTTTTACGTCATTTTTAAAGCCATTCTTCTTGTGTTGTTTTTCTTGCTAATGTTTTCAATTTCTTTTTAGGTAATTTCGCAAACACTGTTCAACATTTCTTTTTCTTCAATTCGCAACGTCGTCTTCCTTCATGCAATAAACTTTATAATATTTTGACTCCTTTGAGATTATGAATTTCTTACGACCTATGGAAATATATATATATATATATATATATATATATATATATATATATATATATATATATATATATATATATCAATCTAAATGAAGTAATAATAAAACAACGAAAGGATATTAATCTACAACCCAGTGTGTCTGAAGATTTTAATTTTTAATATTTTTTTTATTGTTCAATATATATATATATATATATATATATATATATATATATTGTTCTGTCGTTTTTTAAAATCGGTGTCACCCCAAGCAAGATAGTACAACCACTAGCAGGCAAGGGCTTACAGGATGTGGAGGAATTAGGAACAGAATCATTAGTAATGGGGAGAAAGAGAAAAGAGCAATAAGCAGGAGGACAGTAGATAGCCATTGACATTTCATTTAAATTTTTGCAGATTAAAGTTGGTTGGAAAGAATGGAGCCGGAAGGGAGGTCCACAGGCGAGAACTGCGGGATAAGAAAGTGTTAGCATAGTAATTACGTCTACGTTTAGCTAGCTCAACTGTAAATTGATGAGCTCTCGCCACCAGACTAATATTGCGCTTAAATTCATAAAGTCTAGGTACCAAAGGGAAAAGCTCATCCGAACAATAGTCATGAAAGTATAATATTACAGATTCTTCTTTGGATCTTATCAAATAGCTTCAGGTAAACAGCAGGGGCGCCAGACCATATATGGCAGCAATATTCTAAGCATGGACAAATGGTAGAATTATAGATATGCTAGATAGATTCCGGAGAGAAAAATTATCTTGATCGACACAGAAAAATTGTCTCAAACGAACCGACTTTCTTAGCAATGAATTCCATGTTTTCACGTCATGTTAGCTGAGAACGTTAGTCCAATAAGGCGCAATAAGTCACTTTCTTGGAGGATACCATAAACCATGGACATGAAAAGCATGGAAAGGTATGAATCCAACCCCACTCCCACTATAGCAAAACAGACCGGGTTCTATAGCCTTGGGTGGCAACCGGTATAGGAGTAGAAAAACTCTGAATTCAAAATTGTATGTAACCCCGAGGAAGCACGTACTATAAAAATTAAGGAAAGGATCGTTATACATTGATTGGATTATCACGACTACTGTCGATTCCCCACCCCCTTTAAAAAAAATCTGCTGGATTAACTGGGACTCTTATGATAGGAAGGTCAATTCAGAATTTTATAATAATAGGCTTTCAAATCTAGCTTCAGTCGCTAATTGTTGCCCTATCTGACACCTTCGCTTAAGAAAGATTTTTCCCAAATGTCGTGTTAGCTACACCAGTTGCAACAACACGCATCTAGCTAACAAAAAACACTATTTTCATATGGTTTATTCGCTCAATAGTGAAACTAGGACATCCTGACAAGCACATGGAATACATATCTGCAATTTAATCCGCTGTTGCAGTGGTATATACGTTAATGCACGTAAAAAATTAAAACAAATGTTTATCCCAGGATAAGGAAAAGAAAAATATATTATGCAGCTATTTTTAAGCGGTAAACATGATAGAATAGGGCACATTATCAGAGAAATAACATTGTTTGCTGTTATTCTGAAAATATTGTGAATGCTACAACACTTGGCCTTAAATATATTTTCGCTATGGCCGGGTCCCAGAATTGGATTCAGAATCGTGTAACCATTAAATTGATTTTGCAGAACACTTCTTTAAGCAAAAGGCTTCTCAAGAAAAAAAAGAAAGAAGAAAAAAGTAAAAAGAATTAAAATAAAGAGGAACAGTTAAATTTCTTCTTCTTCTTCTTCTTCTTCTTCTTTTTCAATTTCTTCCTCTTTTTCATATTCTCCTTCTTTTTCCTACTCCGCATTCTATTTCTATCTACTCCTCCTCCTCTTCCTCCTCCTCCTCCTCATCTTCCTCCTCCTCCTCCTCTTCTTCTTCTTCTTCTTCTTCTTCTTCTTCTTCTTCTCTTCCTCCTCTTCTTCTTCTTTTGGAAGAAATAGAAGAAGATTTTCTAATTTCTTTCTCCTTCTTTTTCCTACTCCTCATTCTATTTCCATATTCTTCTCCTCTTCCTTCTTCTTCTCCACCTTGTTGTTGTTGTTGTTGTCTCGTCCTCCATCACCACCTCCACACTAATCCCTCTTCTTTTTCCCATGCCATCTGCTCTTTCCATTCACTTAGATGGCCAGCCAATCAAAAGCCGTTTCCGTCGTAGAAGTTGTTTGTGTCACAGCAACTGCGGTAATGGATCAAGCAACAAAGTTGAGTAACGTGGCAGAAAAGCTTTGAGACGAACACGTGTGAACGTCATCGGAAAGCGGGCGTCGAACTCTGTTTTCTGCTTTTGGTTCATAGAAGCAAAGAAACACATCAAAATCGTCTTTGAAGGTCACACAAAAGGACACTAGTTAAGTATGCGTGAAACAGAGTTGGAACACTTTTCATCCACCATAATAACGATATTCATAATGATGCCAATTTTGATGAACGTAATTACAATAATGGTAGCTGTAATAATGAGTTTGATGGTCTTTATTCTTCTTCTTCGGTGTCTCTTTAGTGTTTTCGGCGATCGTTGCTTTTAGCGAGGACCAAGCTACTTCGAAACTTCTAGATTGGTGCTACACAGTCACAGACAAACAACTGTACTAGATGACAGAAACGACTTCCTTTCAGGACTTTCAACAGTAGGAAGGAAGGGCGGAAACCCACATGACTACTAGAAAGAGCGATAACAGTTACTGGACTTGAAAAACTTATTTTCCTGAAAAAATATTTTAAGGGAAAGATTTTATAAATTTCAACCGAAAATTGCACTTGCTGTTCGAATGTCTTATAAGGAAACGGCTAATAGTACCATTGCCATTACCATTCCCCCCACTCCTTTTCCATCTATTCACACAAACTGGCTAAGTAGTTTAGTTACTGTTTTCTGCCGTAATCTTCACTTGAAAGAAAAAGAATATAGTTATGGGGGCACAGATATCGTTACGGGTGCTGGTGCTGCTGATGATAGTGATTTTGGTGGTAGTGCTTCTGCTGCAGCTGATGATAGTGATCGTGGTGGTTTTGCTGCTACTGATAGTGGTGGCGGTTGTGGTGGTACCGCTGCTGATAATGATAGTAATGGTAGTGGTAGTGCTGCTGCTGATGATGATAATATTCATCGTGATGGTAGTGCTGCTGCTGATGTTGATGGTGATGATGATAGTGATTCTGCTGTTAATAGTTGTGGTGGTTGTAGTGATGCTGCTGCTGATAATGATAGCGATCGTGGTGGTAGTACTGCTGCTGGTGATGATGATAGGGATGCTGCTGCTAATAGTGGTGTTGCTGGTGCTGCTGTTAATATTAGTGGTTGGAGAGGTGGTGGTGGTGTTGCTGTTGATGATGATGATGAGGTGGAGGATAATGATGATAGTGTTGGTAATGGTACTGCTTGTTGTTGATGATCGTGGTTATGCAGCTACTGTTGATGATGATGATAATAGTTGTGTTGGAGGCACTACTGCTGATGACGATGCTGGTGCTGCTTCTGCTATTGCTGCTGATGTAGATGATAGTGGTGATGGTCTATTATGCTATTTTATAGCATAGCAGACCGGTCACCGTATTTCTCTCTTCCACACTGCTTACTAGGAGTTAAAATGTAAAACGTTTAGTACATACCCAGTAATATTTGTACAGCTCTTTCTTTTATTAGGTTGAGTCATAAGTAATTTCTTTTAGCTCGTGGCTATTGTATCATCCTAACTAGTAATAAGTACTAGGCATTTAGGAATAAATTTAAAGTAATTTAACATACCTTACTTTTTGCGCCGTAGTGGCTGTTTAAGCAGTGGGTTAAAGGGAAAATATTCTCTTCTATGATAACGCGAGATCGCATCTAACAATGATAACAAAGTAAAAAAGAAACATTTGGAACATGGTTGGTCTGTTCTATCCGACTTGCCATATTCACTTGACCTTGCACAAACTGATTTTTTCTTTTCTCTGATCGTTTTGATGGGGAAAAACCTTATCTCATGAAAACCAGATTCAAGCGTTCTTCAGAAGTTATTTTTTAAACCATTTCACCCCCAAGATAATGCCACTAAAACGCTACAAGTTACCGCGAGTGAAAGAGACGTTAAAGAGAAGAAAGAACAATAAAAGAAGAATATTTTAATATGACAGAAGATGGCGAGTGGCCTTGCATTCATTTTTTTTAACGATTGTAGGTGGCAGGGGAGTAAAAAACCAAAATAAAAGAGGTCTACAGAACATCAAAATGGAATTTTACTTAAAAGATATCAAAGAGCTTCCTTATATAAGTTATAAGAATTTAGAAATAATACAAATTATTTTATATTTATTCAACACCTTTATTCGACATAATCTTTCTTCGTATACGCAACCGATCTCCGTAATTTGTTTACATTTATTTTGCACGCAATTTTTATTTTCTTTTAAAATCATCATTCTTTATGATCCTTTCACATGAAGTCACTCTTAAAAGACATTAGGGAACTATGTAATATTCCTAATACGTCACAGTACGCGTGCTAAAAAAAAACAAAACCATATGAGCAACGTACTGTGCCCTACTTAAGTATTAATTACGGTTAAATTAGACGATATCAATTGTAATTGCGGCAAAAAGCGAAATTAATGTTAAACCTTTAATAAAGATTTTTTTAAAAACCTTTCACTCTGTTCGATATTTAAATTTAACTTTAAATGCGTTATTTATTTAATTTTTAATCGCGTGTAACTACAGTAGCTACAACCTGTTACTTCACGTTGTTTATGATTTGCCGAGATCGAAAAACGGACGGACGGACGGACACACGTACACTGCGCTTTATTTATATAGATGCTTATGGCTTCATTTAGTCATCGGTCGTGTACATTGTTAGTATATCGTAATTAAAATTTAAGGAAAACATATCTCACGTGTTTGGGATGTGTTACCCAATGATTCATTTAAAGAGACTGCATTATTCATTAGCGTTATGAGGCGTTGCTGAAACAAAATACTATCCCTGTCACATAATAGTTGTTGAATATAGTGCATTACAGTGGCACTTTATAATCATAATATATATATATATATATATATATATATATATATATATATATGCCTAGAAAAGTATATATATATATATATATATATATATATATATATAATGCCTAGAAAGAAGTGCTATATATATATATATATATATATATATATATATAATGCCTATAAAGAAGTGCCATATATATATATATATATATATATATATATATATATATATATATATATAGTAAAACAAAATATTGATTGATTTGTTTTTTACGGTTTATCAACTTTTGCAGGAAATATTTTTAGATTGTGAAAATTTTTTGAATCCCATCATTGAGAAAATATTTTTAGATGTTTTAGATATTGTTTTTAGATAATAATGACTCAGTGATACAAGTCTTACTAATTAACCCATAGCTGAAGGGGGGGGATAAGAAGTGGATTCATATCAATTCAGAATTTGATAAACAAACAAGAAATTATATTGTGGATATAAAGTGGGAAATCAATTCTATATTACAATCACTATATAAACTGATCCCTCACATTGTTGCCAGCGTAGTTTCTATACAGTTATATTTCAGATAATGTAGATAAATCTAAAAGACATCACTGTGTAGCAAATCAGTATTTCATTCATTGATTGATTCGTTTTTTATGGCATATCAAACCCTTTGCAGATTATTTAAAGCTAGAAAATATCTTTAAATTGTAATAATTTTTTGGAAATAACAATGATTTACGAATACAAGTTCAACTAATTAACCCATAGTTGGGGGAAGAAGAGGTGGATTCATACATTTCCCATTTGAATATAACGAACCCAGCGGGAATTGGAATTCGGCTCTACGATTTCCACATCCGAACTGGTATCCATTACACCACTCATAAATCCAGGCATGAAACAGCAATATTCACAAACGGTCCCCCATCTAGGTACTGACTAGGCTTGACGTTGCTTAACTTCGGTAAACTGTCCCTCTGTTCCTCGCCTTCATATGTACTGTGAGTCTCAAATTTCCCAAGCCCTCTTTCCTTATTATATACTCTAGAAATTTCAACAGTTTCTTTCTGATACGTATCCTTTTTGTTTCCATTTTTTTCAGCACCCTTCTGTAGAACACATTTCCGTTGCTTCAGATCGCTTCTTCATCTGTGAGAAAAAGAAGACTTACTTGCTATGTAATATCAATCTTTCTAAATGACAGTGAATGCTAGAACATTTCTTCACAGATGAAGAAGAGAATGCAGTCATCTGCGATGTGGTTCTATAGAAGGATGATGAATATACCATAAACGAAACATGTGAACAATGAGGAAGTTTTAATGAGAAAGAAAACAAAAAAAAAATGACAATTAAACTTAAAATTAGAAAGAGACTATTGACATACCTGGAACGCATAATGAGAAAAGAAGGCCTAGAAAATGTAATACTTACGGGACATACCGAAGATTGATTCAATTTATACGGCTTATCAACCGTATTACAGGTAATTTAAAGCCAGAAAATATTTTTATATTCTAAGATTGTTGTTTTAGATAATAATGAATTTAATAATACAAGTCATACTAATTAACCAATAGACATGAAGAATAGAACGTGAACAGTATACCCTCGTATATTAAATAAAGGGTTTAGAATTCCCTATAGGTTGCCTAGATCAATATAGACCTGAAGAAGGCCGGAGGACACAACGGCCTAAATGTTGTGATAACAACAACAAAGATGAGGACAATAGTCCGAATATAAATGGTGTAAATAATAACTTCACATCCCAGAAATTCAGACAATATATATATATATATATATATATATATATATATATATATATATATATATATGATAATAAGGAGACGGAAACTTTAGTTATCTATTTCGTTTATAATTTTTATTTCATGAACACCGAGATGTTCATCTCATCACAACGAAAACCTGGTCCGCGAATGGAGAAATTATACCGGACGGACATTTTAACTTGGCAGTGGGGAGGGAAGGCGAGAGAAAGGGGCTGGGTAAAGGTTGGGCTTAGAGATTGATTGGTGGGATTTAGTAGTGGTCGGTTTCCTCAACAACCATATATATATATATATATATATATATATATATATATATAGGTTGCTGGTCGGTTAAACATATATGGTTTTTAGAAGCAGTTTGCATCAAGTTTCATCGACTGACTTTGTGCAGGCAGAAAGTGAACATTCTTCATTTTCTGTCTCATGGGTGGGTCGGGTCGTGAGTAATTTTTTAAAGTTTTATGCACACGAGGAGATTATTTACACTAATTTGTGTGATTTTAGTAATAAAATTATTTTAGTCGTTTACACCCACTCTCGTATCTACCTTTGACTGTTTCGCCGTTTTGATTATTCTTGTTCCAACGAATCTTTCCGAAGAAGTGTTTGACGGAAAGAATCCTTTTAAAAAATGCGTTCCGTCATTTTCATATATATATTTATATATATATATATATATATACTTTTTACATGTTAATATACCACATAACACCCTTGAGAACTTAGCTTTGGAGCAGGTAGAACGGAGATCAAGATGTTTTAATGGACTCAGCAGTTTTTTCTGCTTGTCTGAATCATTTTCAAGAAGCGAGAGCAAGATCTAAAAGGTCAGTCAATCTAACAGCGATCTCATTTCACAATCCTCATTCTTATTCCATATGTGGCCTCCTTTCTAAATCACTAGCGGGTCTTAAGTGCCACTTAAGAATCCGCTTTTCGTCCTTTAAGACTTCATCAGATTAAATTTGCTACACATGCGGATAAACGAGGGACGCTGGTAATTTTAAATTTGTTTAATTGTTTTTGTATTTTTTTGTTTTTTTGCCTAGCGATTTAATGTAGATTCTTTTTATCTAAATGAAATCGGCTGGATAAAAAAAAACAATAATTTAAAATTCCCAGCATCCCTCGTTCGTGCGCATGTGTAGTCGCAGCAACATAGCAAAATGAATCGGATGAAGCTCTAAAGAATGAAACGCGTCACAAGAAAACTCTTTCCACTTTGTCATAAATTTTTTACCAATATTGTTCTTGATATATAAAAATATATATCGTTATATATATATATATATATATATATATATATATATATATATAATCTCACTGTTTAATAAAAATATATAAAAAATATATTTCCTAAACAGTGAAATTAATAACAACCGGCCTTGATCGAGAAATTCTACTAAAAATTTTCCCTCCTGACATGAATCGAACTTGTATCTCTTTTATCATCAGGGAAAACACTGCTATAACTGAAGCGGGCCGTTAAGAATTTGGCAACGGGACCCCCTTAAAAAAGCGGAGATCAAATTACCTATTTAAAGAACGCACATTTCTCACTGGGCGAGTGTGTATGTATATATAAACAGTATTGGGTATGTGCAAACGTTTCAAACGAAAAACCGTTTTTAAAACAGGAGCGATGCGAAATTTTGTACCCACACCCATAAATATATATATGTGTGTGTGTGATTTTCTAGACGTAGCTTAGATGTGGCATAAGGTCGACAGTACGGGGCACACAGTGAGGGTC